GAGAAGAAAAACATGGGAGGCATGGGGGGGGGGAGGGACGGGAGAAAAGAGGAAGCGAATAGAACGTTCAGTGTCCTAGCGAGGCGCGGAGCAAGGAATATATATCGTCAGTGGCATTGGGGAAAGGCATATATTATCTGTATTTCATGAAATAATAAATATTATCTTATTTTATATCGATTGACGCTTTAATTCACTTTCGTGTGCACGATGCGCAAAAATCGCCATTTCCCGAGATCCCTCGACCGCCTACAAACATCTCCGAGGAAAAAGAAAACACGCTCAACTATCCCTCCGGAATCGCACGCATTATTTATTCTTTCTCCTACCCCTCATCTCTTCTATATTTAATAATGGAATTACTTTCATCGTAGAGATCGTTAGTTGTTCATTCGTTTTTGTACTTTGTAAACTAATACACTAAAAGCGCTAATCGTCAAAGACTGACAGATTTTACCGATCTTCTTTCCAGTATTCGTTTACGAACACATTGACTTGACAATGTAACGTCTAAGGACTTGTTACGATTAGTAAATTAGTCAACTATTCGTTTGTGTTTGTAAATATTAACTAAAAAGAGAGAATTGCACGTAAAGAGAAAGTGCTCATCAAGTAGTAAAATGAAGAAAAAAAGAAGATCGGCGAAATCAGCTCCAACTCTTAGAACGCAAAACTATCAGAGAATTTGACTAAAAAGGACAGCGAAAATGGACCAATCTCGTCATCATTTTAGCAGTAAAATACTTGTTAAAGTACTTGGAACTTTTCGGTTCTTCATCGGTTTCCGATAGAATCTCCATTCCCGAGACGTATCATCGGTCTTGCGCTCTATTCAAACTTGTAAAGAGTGACATAAATGCAAGTAACAGGACTCACACATCTATTATATGTCTCTATATATATATATATATATATATGCATATGTCAACATTGTCTATCTAAATTATTGTCAGCATCTTACGTCTTAACAGGATCGCGAGTGGAAAGTTAATTCTCGCGAAAGCATGAAGGGGCACGAATTAACTGGCTGTAAGAGAACCCTGGATCTCAAATTGTCAATGCATAACGTTTAAGCATACACACGCACACACATACATACATATATACACGCACACATGCACGCACTCATGGAGAAAATACATCCAGAATATACCACATAGACACATGGAAACATTTTAGCTATTAGCCCGTGTAACTTGTAACAATGCCCCTTTATTTATTTCTTCATCGATCAAATTTCTCATTTTCTTATTCCGTTTTTATCCAGCATTTGCGTTTTAACACATTCACAGAGAGATTTTTTGACTCGCTCTACAACGCTTCTTTCTTCTTCTTTCCTTTTCTCCGCGGATCAATATCGCGCAGTGCGTCTCTACGAAGCGAGTAAATGCTCTACGCAAACATATCTCGTTTATATTATTACAGTCGTATATAAATGTAGGCTACATACATACATACTTTGAACATAAATCGCTCTCGCATAACATATATTGAAACAGATCACAAGTGACTGCACTTGCGTACAGATTGCTAAGAGAAACGAAATGAAATGCGTTGAGTATCGTGAAAACCTGTGAACTCGAACATTTAAAAAAAAAAAAAAAAAAAAGAAAAAGAAAAAACAAAGAAGAAAGAATAATATTCGCCGATTGGCGAAGTGCATTATCGAGTCATTTATCACGAGTATAAAGGAAATACTGGCCTGAGAATATCAGAAAGTGCGCTACGCAACCTTTTCGGACACGTTTGTATAATCTTACAGACTAAATTATATCGTAACTTGCTGATCGTTGATTGTGTGATCGACGAGCAACGCTGAATTACACGAAAGACATCAGATTATACGTGATTTTTCCTTTTCCATCAGATCATCGCTTAATCTTCACGATAAATTTCCTTTCTACGCGGTATAATTTCTCTCGTGACGGATGCAAAAAGGGTTCGTTAATACTTAAAATATCTTATTCAAATCACGGCATGAAAATTTATTATTTCTAAATCGGCCTCTCTTTCGTTTTTTTTCCTCGAAAAGAAATAAAGAGGGTAGTGGAGTGCAAGGGTCATACATACATTTTTTTTAAATCGATAATACTTGCGGTGTTCTCCAAGAACGCCGTATGCTTTCCTTACGGATTATTCTGTAACGCGAGAAGCAATTTTAGGCTGAAGCGAAGTGGGACTAATATCTCATGTACGTATACGTGTGACTTAACTACGGCTATTAACGTATCACAAAAGAAATATCGCGTTTCTCGCAGATCTCTCCGGCTTTCGTTATCGCCTATCAGCCCAAGAACATTTTTGTATCGCGATTCGACACGCGTTACGAAAAACGACTCTCTCTTTCTCTCTCTTCTGCTTCATGCTGCCGAGAGCATTCAGAAATCTATCTTTCGCTAAGATACCTCCGAATCTCATCGTACTTTCACCCTGTTCACCCTCGCCCTCTTAAAAATCCTTTTTTTTTGTAATATGCACGTTATTCATTTCTGTTTTTACCCGGATGTGATCGCTTTTATACATCGTGTATTAAAACGCTAACGGCTGACGTGTTATACGTTTAATAAAACGCACGATGCAATTGCTATTCGTTCCTTCTTGGTAACTATATATATTGCGAATATTTTAAACAATTCGTGTTCTACGTTCACTGCAAGCCACGATTGTTGAGATAATAGCAAATTATACAGTTACACCTAGATATTTATGTGCGATGTCTTTCGTTTTTTCTTTCCTTTCTTTCTTTTTTTAAATGTTACCGATACTATGGACGTTTAGGTGAACACGAATTATAAATAATCGATACGCGCGCGTGTATTACATATATATGAAAAATATTCGACGAGATTCTCAAAAAATTGTAAAATTTGAAAAGCATGCAAACGAGTGCTAAAAAAAACGTACGATTTCTGCCAATCGTCATCGTCGTTGCGTTTCATAGTGAAAAGACTATCGGTCGATTTTTTTAATACCGTGCACAATTAATAATATACGAACTGTCGTTAAAGAAACCATCGTTAAATTTTGGTAACGTTAGATGGAAAGAGATTGATTTTAGTTCTCTTTGTTCATGAATGATCTTCATGAAAAACATATGCACGAGTAAAATTAAATTACAGCACAATTATTGGCATCCCCTTTTAACAACGACGAACGAAACGAGCAACGAATATGTTGTAATTCTATTAGCAGCTTTGAGCATCGGTACATTCGACAATACAACATACTAAGGCGATTTTTATGTAATAGATAACACTGCGTATACCCTTAAGTCTCACGCACACACTCGCGTGCGGATGCGCGCGCCGCTTTTTCTCTCTTCCAAGTACTACAGTAACAGGTCCGTCAAGTTACCTTTAATTAGTTATTTCAATCCGAAGTACTCGCATCAAGTTCTTTCATGAAAGTTCTCGGATAATTTACAATCACTACTTAAAAATTTGATACTTAAAATTCTGTCTGTGTGCAACTAAACGGATCGACTGTTCAAACCGGAGTGTAATTGCCCTTGGGTTTATAAAAGATCTTGCCGCGCACTATACGTCTCGTGATTTCATTCAATAGCAGGCGTTTCTCTTTCTTGATCTTTTTCAATATGCCCCGGTTTTCTTGGGCACGCCGTGACAAATACGGCAATACTTCTTTAACCGGACCATACGGGATGTACTTATACGCAGAGTAACCAGATTGACCTGAAAATTTCATTCAAAGTCGTTGCATGTATATATTTTATCGTAAGAGAAATAAAAATGTAAAAATTACATACCTAATGGAAATGTTATGTAGTCGCACATTCCTAACAACTGGCCGAAACATATAACTTTGTCCTCAGGTGAAATTCCGATTTCCTTCATTCTACAGAAAATGTAAAAAATTATTTTGTATATATAGACACACATTCATTTTTTGCAGGAAGAATCAATATAAAAATAAATCCTATTCGAGATAAATAAGCAGCACTTACTTTTCAATCGCAAAACGCACAGTGTCCTCATTGTGCGAGGCAACCATAATTCCTATTTTTTTAGGATCTTCACCTTTGTCCTTGTATTGTTTCATTCGCCTCAGGCATTCCATGAGCGTCTTATGATAAGATTCGGTTGTCGCTTCGTACGTTGGATTCGTAGGGTCTGGATAACCCATAGCTGCCGCCCTCGCCCTCTCCTGAATAAGAACTCTTCAATATTTAGTTACCGTTCGGCGAATTTTATTCAAGAAATATAAGAAATATTCACCAACCTGCTCAATGTATGCGCCACGAACGAGTTTAGCGCCGAAATAAAAGTTTTGGCGTTCCGCCTGTTCGAGGTCCGTTTTCACTTCGTTAAACGCGTCTTGTAGATACGTCTGGTAAGTGTTGAATACCACAGCCTGAGAAGTAGACCGATATTTGGCAGTGAGAATATCATTCACTGAAAAGTAGCTAAGTGATAACGTCGCGATCCTCTGAGAACGTTAGGACGTTACCTTTTTCGTATTGTACTTGCGCATCATCTCCAGCGTCAGGCGAGAAATGGCCGGTTGGAAGTATGTTTGTTCCGCGTCTATCATAATACGGACGTCCAGACTATCAGCCACCTGATGAAAGAGAAGAATTTATTTATTGATCATGAACCTGGAAATTAATGGGCTTTCATCGCTTGTGCATACCGTGACAATATTATTTAGACGTCTGATCATATTCCTGAACATTTCCTCTTCCTTGGGTGTCAGTTGCGACATTAATCTAACCATTTTGCCCGTCTTAATATCAGGTACTTGGAACGTTTCGCTCAGTTCGTAATTCTCATCTAGAATACCGCTCCACGGAAAGAGGTGAATCACACTGCGTGGACAAAAATATCCATTGTGCTTGCGATACTATCAGATATGAATATTGAAATGTCATTAAAATTCATGATTCTAATCGGACGTACCCTTCCTTATCTGATTGAATTTTTTGAAGGAACTTTTGCACCGATTCCTCATCTTTGATGTGTGCTTCCTCGAACTTTTTTCTAAAATCATCAGGCTTCGCGTGATGAGCCAGAACGGCACCCTCACCACCGATAACATCCGATGTGTATTGTCGTGCGCGCATAATTACCTCTGACAATTGCAACTGAAACATAAATTATCTCATAGATTATAGTTATAAGAAATAGATAATGAAAGTCAGCAATAAAAATGAAGCTACCAACCAGAAGCTGCGGCCGACCAAGTGCTGTTAATTTAACAGCTGTGATACCCATTCCCATTGAAGCACCTGCGAAGATATATGATGTTATATCATATACAATATCAATTAAATCGATTATTCTTCTGTGAAAAAAAAGAAACGTATATAGAAGAATGTTATTTTACAGGGCTACATTTTAAAATGTCCTTTCTAAGGAAAATTTTACTTGAAATATATAGTATATGTAACGTATACCATATTACATTGAATAAAATTTTCTTTTTCTTCCCCAAAGGAGATGTTTTGAAATGTAATTCGGGACAATAAAAAGATAAAGAAGATTTCAAGGAAGAGAGGGGAAGTAGCTTACCAGGATAGAGATCAGCTTGGGCATTGGTAATATTCTGACAGGGGTATTTCAGTTTCAGAGTCTTAATTTCATCCTCTGTAAAGTTCACAAAGCAAGGAGGCTCTCTTTATGTAGGATCCATGTTATCCCGATATATCTTTTATCTTTCCCTTTATCTCTAATATTAATCAACTGTGACAGTCTTTTGTCCGTCAAACGTCCCCGACATGTTACGTCACATAATTTGGGTGGAAAGCGCGAACGGTGATTCGCTCACGTATCGATATTTATAGCCGAGTAGAAGACCGACCGAGTGTGCCTGACTCGCGGAATTTCGAAAGATCTATCGCCGTCACTGTCGACGAGCGAGAGCACGTGTTGTTTTCCCCCCTTTCGCGTACTGGCAATAATTCGACAACGTTTCATAAATGCTGTTGAACGTGATATTGCCAGAAGGAGGCGTGTGCTCTCTCTCTCGCGTCAGCGAGAGCCGAAAATTCGCAGAAAGCGACGATCGATGTTGCACGCGACTTCGTGACGTAGGAATCGCGCCCCCGCTAATTATGGAGAGGCTATTATCCCATGGGAAATAGCCTCTCCGTCATATATAGATTTTACTAGTTCGATTAAATGTAACTTTGCATTTAACTCATCAATTTGTTAATTTCGTGCACTTTCGCTTTCTGCTTGCATTTGATTATTCATTGCTTACATTCGTGAGCGCAGCATTCGTGAATAAATATCACGCGGCATATGTTAATTCCCGCGTAATCAAAGTGATGATAATCAAGCTCGCAAAATAATAATCACGTGAAGATCAAGTGTTATAATAATATTAATGTAATAATCTTAGATAGATGGAGCAGATTGATTTTTGTTTGGAAGCTAAGATAAGATTCGATTACTTGCACCGTTCGAGCATCCGAGGGAGGATCAAGAGGCATTTTACAAGAGGTCTGAAATTATCGTGGAGTTATTTAACTTCAAGTTCAAAAGACTTGAGCGAAAAAATTAGCTCCAGATAGGATTACGGTACATTCTGCATAGCTTAATGTCGCGTCGCCAAAGAGAGCCGGTCGGGGATTAGGAAGGGACTTTAAAATGTTACGGAGATCCAAAAATAAAGTCCGTGACTCACTCGCCACAGCCTCCAGACACCTGATAAATATGTCCATGTTTCGCTCGCAGGACGCTTCGTTCAGGTAGAAATACGTTCTGGCCGACGACACCTTGTATCGCCGATCGGCGAACGACTTCTCCACGTGATACTTCTTCAACGGGCCCTCCCTCTTCTCGTCGCCCGCTTCCGACACCGAGGCCCTGGAATGGAAGAATACCGAATATTCGGCCGGCTGTTTGGACGCTTATTAACATCGCAACCGGCGCCCGCGACTTCGACTTGCATTTCTACTTAGATCTCCCGTCTTTCCCTCGGTTTTTTTTCCCTTTATACCGATGGAAGTAAAGTCCAGTCTGCTCTTCGTGCATAGAAACAAAGGTAAGCAAACCGTAAATAGAGAACCGTATATCCACGCAATATTAGGTCAGCGAAAGGCGCGGCATAAAGTGATACGCGAGCTTAAATTTCATACTTGACTTGAGGAGGAATTCAAGCAGCGTGCTGCTTTTGCAAGGACATTGGACGAAAAATAAAAAAAAATTAATCGGAATACGTCGAATCGTCGCGAGAATGCGCTACGAGAATACGCAAAGCGAGTACTTACTGAAGCTCGCGCCGCTCGGCCTCCTCCTGGGAAATGTCCTCCTCGACGGAATAATCGAGGATCGGTTTAACGCCGAATTGTCGCAGCCTATCTAAGACAGGTGTAATCTGCACTTCGTCTTCGCCGGCGACGAAGTGACCGTAAAACGTCGCCTTCATGAGCCTCGAGAACAGCTTCTCGCCCAGCAACGCCTTTGCCAGTTTCATAAACTGTTGAAAATTCAATCACATACTTATGTGAGACTTGATATCTCTATTCTGTCAAAGCAGCGTGGGTCATGCATTTTAAAACTGACGTTTAACAATGCAAAAGAGAATTCTTAATAAAAAAAAAAAAAAAAAAAAAAAAACTGAATGCAAATATATTCCTGCGGAAATTTATAATTTTAAATTAGAAAGTTAAGTCTAAGTAGACTTGGTCTTTATACCATTACCTTGATCTTTATGATTTGGACTTAGATATGGATGGAAATGACTTCGCGCCCGCTTTTCCCGTAAATTAAAATATTTTTGTTTATTAGCATACTATGTCGAATATCCTTTTGAGAAGACTACTAAATTAGGCGAGAGAATAAATCACGACGGCGACAATCGAGAAGTTAAATCATCAGTTCTCTGTTCCAGCGAAATTTATTATTCTCGGAGGAAACCACAATTGCGAGAGTGACGCGAGCATAACGTAACATAACTTAACGAGGGCGAAGAAAAAAATATAAAAATAAAGTCGCAGCTAATTCTTCGTTCGAGATTCGGCTTTGGAGCGAGTGTTACGTAACCGCGAGGAGAAACGAAAATGTTGCCGTAGGCAGTACGCCCTCGCAATAAAAATGTGGGTTACGCTGCGCCTAATGGCTACGTAAGATGCGAATATCGATCTGCCGAGGAATGAAATGCACTCGAGAATACGTCATTGATCCCTTCATTCCGCCTGCCATTAAAAGTTACAGCCGAATAAAAAAAAAGGGGGGGGGACAAAGATCAAATATATGAGAGAAGTGGTTGAGAACCTCAAAATACAATGAGGTGCGAGAGAAAAATAATATATTTAATTCGTACGTAATATTTTAGATAACTTGGAAATAAAATCCAATATCTATTTATGGAGGAAAACAATTTCTGTAATTTTCATATGGGATCATAACGAATATTTTCACCTGCGTGCAGAGAGAAAGGGAGAAATAATAACGTACGGGTTAGGTGGGAGAAGAGAAAAATACAAATTGCGGTGAAACATATTAATGAATTTTCATGTGGAGATACACGGTCTATGTGTATGGGCGAATATAAACACGTTCTGCGCGAATATTTACGAGTATTTACGAGAGCTGAAGCTCGATGTTAATTGCTCGCTAACAACACCGACCGTGTCCTAACAATAATCCGTCATAATTTACACCCCGTGATTCGTAGCCTCGCGATTTGTACACTACGATCGTAGATCATGGCATCACGACACGTCAGTCAAATGCATTTTATTGGATGTAATAGGCATGGAAATCGCCAAAGCTGCCGTTTCGTCGGCGTGTCGAATTGACTCTTCGGTCTTGTTTGTGCTCGATATTATTTTTTTTCTCTTACATACGCACGTATATATCGCTCATCTCGTCTCACTTAATATAGAAAAATGGGCGTGAAATTAAGAAAAAAAAAATCCTTTAAAAAAAATGTATAAAAGAATTTGTCGTTTCTTCAAGAGAGGCGACGATTGAATCCGCGAACGAAGGAATTTCCGGATGACGATAAGCTCAGAAGCTTTTGCGATTAAATTGGCGAGATGTACATTAACGGTTTGCCAAATCTGATGATGGGAGATAAGCAGGAGAGATATTCTGTAACGCAACGCGTAACGCGAGTTCAAGTGGGAGGAAGTATGATTAAGTCAGGCTGTTGAAATAAAAGCAATCTTGCGACGAGCAGTCGATTGCGATCGTTTCGCCTTATCGATCCGGTCGGGTTTCCGGCCAGATGAAATCGTAGAAGTAAAATTGGGATGCAAGACGGGAGACAGCGAAAATCACGGCGACTTTAATTTTATCATCATTCGTAGGACTTCACTCTTCTTTGCTCCGGAAAACTTTTCCTATATTTAAAACGTAACGTCTGCAATAACAATTGAGCCAAGTGATATATCCTCCCATTTCGTTCGCTTTATAAATCACGCGTTAATCACGGAGTGAAAATTGAGCGAATTATTTGAAGATAATTTAGAGAATCATTAGGTGCAATGCGAATGCAGTATATTCACGGTTGTAATTAATAGGAATAGCTAATCGTAATCGAAGAGATAATTCAGAGTAAGCTGGAAGTTCTTAAGTGCTAGGCAAACAGATGGACAGGTCGATACATGTTATATGGGGCGAGTACAGTATATGCTTAACGTCGCCACTTAAGTCATTGTTATGTTTGTCAAACTCTGAGCTGAGGAGCTCACCGAAATGTTTGCCAACATTAAATATACCTATTGATAAGCCTAAACAGAATGCGTGTCTGCACAAATCAACTTGATCAACTTTCTCGTGTGTCTGCCACGTGATGAATTCTCTCTCTCTCTC